TTGTTCTTCAGGGATAGGACGGCCGCCTCCACCTCTCCAAGACTGAAAAGTGGTACGTCATCCACCCTTCCGAAATCCCGCAGTGGGCGCAACGTGTGAGCCGGGAAAAGGGACTCGACTATCCTCTCCATAGTGGCCCCATCCATGACGGAAGGTGGAGAGCGGGTGCCAAGTTTCTTGGTTACCAGTTTGTAACCCAAGCCCCACGGATTGGAATCGATATCGTCCCTTAATGTCTCCCAGCAACTACGTTTACTCCGGTTGATGGCTCGACGAAGCCATCCCCTCCCACCCTCCTAGCCACTCTGTAAGCATCCGACTTACGACGTCTGTCTACAGGTTCTCTGGCCCTGGTAGCAAGTCTTCTGGCTCTCAATGCTGACCGACGCAATTCCGCAATCTCGGCAGTCCACCAGTACACAGGTCGCTTGTTGCACCGGGATCTTCCGCGAGGCATAGACTCATCGCAAGCGGAGACGATTAGTCCCATCATGGATGTAACTAACACCTCTGCATGAGCCACGCTAGTTGCGGGGGGAACCACCGGTGCTCCTCGTAAGATGGCTTCATTGAATTTTGCCACGTCCAATTTTTTAATATTCCATCGAACGGGCACTTGACGAAACGCGGCTACTTGTCTCTGATGACTATCCAGGACATCAAAAATAATGTACTGGTGGTCACTGCCCGTGTAATCCTCCAGAACTCTCCAGGCTCTGATCCTTGGCAAAAGGGACTCAGATGCAAGGGTTATGTCTGGGATAGTTCCCCGCATCCCAGGGCGCCGGAAAGTTGGCGTGTTTCCCTCGTTGACGACAACGAGTCCGGCTCTGGCAGCAAAGTCCAGAATGTACTTGCCCCGGGAATTGGTGAGGGTCATTCCCCACTCGACAGCCCTAGCATTAAAATCCCCACCCACGACGACGTGTCCTGTGGTATTGCGCACGTTCTCTTCCAGGCGGTCTATCTTCTCACGAAATTCACGGATGGCCTCGTTGGGAGTGAGGTAGACACTAAAGTAAGTGACATCCCGGCACCGAACCCAAACGAAACCTCGGCCCTTCGCGTGACCCCGTACTTGTACTTTCGCTGCATTACGCGCCCAGAATGCAGCAGTACCAAGACTATCAGGGAACCAAAAAGATGGGTCCCTATCACGGTACTGGTACTGTTCGCTGACTAAGAGCGCGTCGACATCGTGTTCTAGGGCAAGCTGACATAGAAGTGCGTCAGCCGTCCTGGATCGCTCAAGATTGCACTGAAGGATTCTTATCTTCGTGAAAGGACTTTCGCTTGCTGTAGTGCAGATTTGAATACACTACACTGTCCAGACCCAGCTATATGCTTCAAGTGTTTGTCAGCGAGCCCATTTTCTTTGCAAAGGAAACAGGACTCGACTTGGCAGTCCTTACGGACGTGACCGACCTCCCCGCACCGAAGGCAGTTCTTGCTTCGGTCGGGTCCCTTGCGTTTTCGGGAGGAATGGCCGAAACAGAGGCATTTAAAACACCTCTTCACTTCCACTCTCCGTCTGAGCCTGCAGTTGACCCAGCCGACTCTCAGATGCTGGAGTCCCAGCACCTTCGTGGCATGTGCGTCTGCCATTTCGGCGACCGCCATCCGCTGCTGACTCCTGTTCGGTTTTGTGAGCCACACCTTAAGGAAAGCCGTTTGCCCGCCAAGCTCGGGGACAGCTTTCTTCAGGGCCTCAACAACATCAACCTCCGTCAACACACAATCAATGTCTCGAACCTCGACTGATGTCTTTGGTTCAAGAGCACGGACGGTGCCCTGGCCTTCAACAGCTGCCTTCAGTTCGGCAGTAAAGGCTGCTTTGTCTTTCGACTTACCCAGTTCAAGGAGAAGGTCCCCGTCCCGGGTTCGTCTAATCGACCGTACAACCGTATCGGTCTACTCTGGCTTAGCCCCGGCCTTAATTGCACCCAAGACCTCGGCGAAAGATCTCCCCCCTGAGGGCTTGACCAGGATTGCCTCCGTCCTGGGCTTTTTTGGCCGGGACTTTTTCGGAGCAGAGACCGAGCCGGGCCCAGTTTGGGCCACGCCGGTCGGCTGTGCCTTCACTGCCACATTCTTTATAGAGGCGACCTCCGCCCGCCTCAACTGCCTCTTCTCCTTTCGGGAACGACGTTTTTCCCACGCAGCCCCAGGTGTCTCTACGACTGACCCCTTTCGGGAACTTTCCTGAAGGGGGGTCGTAGGTAGCTGTGGTTGTTGGCTCTTTGCAGGAGTTGCAGCTATGTCCGAAAAGGATCTGGGCACAGCAGACAATAGGTCAGTCTGAGTCGCCTTGGCCTTTACCGTGGTCCTTTTGGTTTGGACGCCTTCTTCTCTTTTTTGAGGACTATCCGATGTGGAAGGCCTTTTACGTTTCTTAGAAGGCAGTGTGCTTTCGTCAGACAGAGACACAACCTTCTCGGCAATCTTCTCCATGGCTGCCTTACTCACCACCCGGCAGGCAAAAACGAAGCCAAGGTCATCCTCCAGTTTGGCCATGCCGTTTTTGACCACTTGATTTACGGCTTTCTGGGTCCTGAAGGTGTCCAGCATAGCCTTGATCGTAGCTTCCATGTCTTGGAGCCGGGTTTCAATGTCACTCTCTGCGTCAAGATATTCCTGACGCAGAAGTACCATCTCAGAGCCTTCCGACCTCAGCGGTGCTTTGAATGGCTCCTCCGGCATCCCTACAGCAGAACTGGCAGAGTGAGGGAGAGTTGCTGGCAACACCAGCTCGACACCTACATCTCCGACGTTTTCCGCACCATTCCCAGCTCCACCTGCCGAAAGAGCTCCTAAATGGGGGGACTCCTTAGTGCATTTGAAGGTTGCAGGTGGGGGAGATGTCCTCACGTTTTTCGGTGGTGGCGACCGCTGCACCTTGGAGCTACGGACAAAAGCGTTCCGCTCCACTTCCAACGTCTTTTCTGGCTCATTTGAGCTCTTAATAAAAAATGTGTTATGAGGGGTTTTATTTAAATCCATCGTGTTTATTCCAGCGCATCGTGCGGCAAGGAGCGGCCCGGAATCAGTCAGGAACGGGTATACCCTCGGGGACAAAAACCCCTACCCCAGTTCCCCGGGGCCTGACCTCCGTTTGCCCAGCACCGGATACCTGACGTGCCGGGGGTCGCCCGTCGCAATGCAGAGCCCGACCTCTACATCCATGCCGCACTCCCTGACCAAGGACCGAAGTGGCTGGCTTCTCACGACCCACTAAGAATACCCATCGGCAGTGCAGAGCACACATCAACCCCTGCAACACAACAGGGGCACTCCCAGGGACTCCCAGTGAGTTCGTCGGTCACCCTTTTAGTCGCCTCTTACGACAAGCCCGAGAAGGCTGCGGTGCTATTCTAACCCGGTACCGCACGGGGAAGTGTTTTATGTACTACAGTAAACAGTTTCCAGAAGATTGAAGCTTTATCTAAAATATATTTTTCGGAATCGCTCTAAAGAATGTCTGCAGGGAGTATTATTTATATTCATTTTTGAGTTATTTTATGATAAGAACAATTAACGCGTATTTGAGATACTATACTTATCGTTTAAAATGATAGCATAGATTTAAAAAATATTAAATACTATCTACTGAATATGTATAGTAGTAACAGATCAATATTGTGTGAGGAAAAACGAATTAGATAATATTTATTAAAAATACGTGTAAGGATTATTTTGTAAGAGTGGTTTAATGCATACTACAAGCACTGTATACACTATATTTTATAACAGAAGCTTGTGCTTTATTTGAATTATCTTGATGTGAACATTAACATTTCAGCTGCAACCATGTAAACCTGTATAAGAATTGATAAAAAATTACTTACATTTATGTTAAAAGATTAACAAAAATACAGCTTGGTTAAAAACCTGTATTAAAAAAACTACAATCGATATATCTTGACTGATATATTAATTATTTAATATACACTTTTGTGTCAGATAACTGTCTAATGTTCTTCGAATTATTTTTATTTATGAAATGGTTGGTGTCACCTGACTGGAAGATTTGTATTTTTTTTTACATAGATAAGAAAAATGGATAGCTCTTGAATTGTTCATGCGAATAAAATGCGTAATAGAAAAAGCGTAATGCGGTATAGGAAAATAGTAATTTGTAAAACTGAATAAAACATATTTTCAAACCGAAAACATATACATCGTAAAATGTCATTTATATCTTGGGCAATTACACAAATAAATAGCCAAGCGAAGAACAGCATAATCATATTAATTTCGAATGCGTAAAATATATTGAGCTTTTCCCGAATTAAACTTGTCATCAGAAAGTCAGCAGTGATATTGAACATCATAAACAAGTTGCTTTAGCTCGCTACATCACAGGATCAAGTTTAATGAACTCATTGCAATGACACTAAATAACTGTCTGGTATATTGTGTTTGAATGTGAAGTTACATTCTTTGTGGCTTTTCTTTTATGACCTTTGTCTGTCACCGAACGTAAAGCTATCGCCGATGTAATGAAAACTGTATATTTAACCACTGAGGGTTGAAATTAACTGTTAATCGGTTATGCTGTCTTAATAAAACATAAAACAATCTAAGCTCAACAAATCCGTCAAAGGTCAAAACATATTTTTCAAGAATTTTTCGTCTAAAGATTTTCTCTCTAGATGTATCCTAAACCCTAAGAAATTTAAATACCGTTTCTAAGTAATAATAAACTTGACTTCAGTAGAGAAAAATTTAACAAGGTCTTTTAAAAAGGAAAACGGATCCGATTCCGTAACTGATTTGTAATTGTGTATCCCTCAAAAGGTTAAATTGTCTATGCAGATTTATAGGATTATACGCATTAGCGATGAACTACCACATCGTCGTTTCGATATTAAGAAGTGTAGTAGGTATTTTAAAGAATTGTACAGGGAACTGGAACTAAAGTGCTATGTTTTAAAATTTGTACCAACCATGCATCGAATCATTTTAATAGCCTAATAAGCTCAGTATTACACCTAAAATCGTTATTCTAGCTTGTCCCATTCAATTTCATGACCTACGAATATCACAATGTTTTAGACCAAACTGACTGTGTGGAAAGTAAAAACATTGGTCATGGGTCATAATGTCATATTCAAAATGATCATTTTATAAAGACAACATAACAAACATAACTTGATACACAAATCATCCTAGACAGCATATTTGTAATCGGTTGATAAGAAGTTTCAGGTGTTTCCAAAATTTTAATTTCCAATATGCTACATAATCAAATTTATTTCATAGCGGTTTCATCGAAAACAAGAACTAAGAAAAATGCAAGCCTGTTGAGAGCCTTGGTGCGTAACTAAGATTAATGGCAAAGATAAAATCCAACTCACTTTCCACAGTGAATTGATCGTAACATGCTCAGCTTTTGTTATCCCATAACATAAACCATGCTAACAGCTTCTGCTTTTTCTGATTACTTCAAACAAAAACCCTCTTCTACGGTACAATCATTGCCTTCAGTTATGTCATGTTGTCACCTTAACTATTTTCTTAAACGTTATTTAGTTTGTTTTGTACGTATTCCAGTGTCTTTTTAGTTAATGGCATAGTGATAATCAGTATTGTCGTAAAGTACTGCTAATTAGTTGGAAATTGTCGCTGTTGGACAGACATGACAGAATAGGTAAAAACATAATAGCATTAAAAGTGCACCGCTTAGTGGCAAAGTTAAGAATTTAATATAAACTGTAAATGTGTGCATCTCTAATGATCCTTGTAAAATATTACAATCTTTTAGAAATTATAAACCCTTTTAGTCCCTTACATTTTTAGTAATTAATTTTCAATCACTATTTAGACTATGAAATATGAAAAACATATTATGTCGATAGAAATAATTGTTGTATAGGTTTTAGTGGAGATTATGTCAATTTCATGTTTAATTTCCTAGATCAATATAAATCTAATTTGCTGCACCATTATGATAATCGGAAGCGGATAGAGCGGTGGTGTTCTAATCAGTTTGATACAGTTTTATCTTATTAATATTAGTCACAATATAATACAGTACTATTGAACAATCTAACTTTGTCGTAATACGTAAACCGCCAGAAAAAATTACAGTAGAGAGTTTTTTTTTTTCTAAATCCTTTAATCAACGAGGGATTCATGTTATTACAAGTGTTCTAAAACTGAATATGAAATCAAGATAATCTCAAATTTAGGTTAAAACGTAATAAAAAGATAATGGAAGTCACAAAAATCCCTACTGCAGCTATTCTGTGGACAAAAGCGATGCTGAAGTTAAATAGAGTACTTTTTATTATATATTTAAAATAATATACTTATTCATATGATTAGATAAGATACACCACATTTAAAATACAGTACATCGAAACTCCATTCGTGTATTTACCCTATATAGTACAATAAAAACTTTAGCTCAGAAAATGCATATTCACTGGAAGGATAATTACCTAGAAATGGGATTGTGGCAAAAAATAGTGGAACACAAATTGCCAGTCACTAAGGATGACCACAAACTTTCCTAGCCCCTGAGGCCAGGATGTTTCATTGTTGGTTTGGCAAAAAGAAAACGCTTGTTTTGAAATGGGATATTATAAGGTGTATAATGTTGTGTCTAAATCAAAATCATGTTTTAATATATCAGACTGTAAGATTTTTGGATATTAATAAAACAATGGCCCAAAATATCAATCAATACAAACATAATTTGTTCATAAATATATAAGTGAAATTTATGATAATTGTACTAAGAAAACTGTGAACGATCCCAGACATTACCCTTGCATCTGAGTCTCTTTTGCCAAGGATCAGAGCCTGGAGAGTCCTGGAGGATTACACGGCCAGTGACCACCAGTACATAATTTTTGACGTCCTGGATGGTCATCAGAGACAAGTGGCAGCGTTTCGTCAAGTGCCCGTTCGATGGAACATTAAAAAACTGGACGTGGCAAAATTCAACGGAGCCATCCTACGAAGAACGCCGGTGGTTCATCCTGCAACTGGCGTGCCTCACGCAGAGGCGTTAGTTGCATCCACGATGAAACTGATTGTCTCGGCCTGCGATGAGTCTATGCCTCGCAGGAGATACCGGTGCAATAAGCGTCCTGTGTACTGGTGGACTGCCGAGATTGCGGAATTGCGTCGAGCGGCATTGAGGGCCAGAAGACTTGCTACCAGGGCTAGAGAACCCCTAGACAGACGGCGTAAGTCGGATGCTTATAGGGTGGCTAGGAGGTATCTTCGTCGAGCCATCAATCGGAGTAAACGCAGTTGCTGGGATAAATTAAGGGACGATGTTGATTCCAACCCGTGGGGCCTGGGTTACAAACTTGTAACCAAGAAACTTGGAACCCGCTCACCACCTTCCGTCATGGACAGGGTCACTATGGAGAGGATAGTCGAGTCCCTTTTCCCGGCTCACGCGTTGCGCCCACTGCGGGATTATGGAAGGGTGGACGACGTCCCACTTTTCAGCCCTGAAGAGCTGGTGGCGGCCGTCATATCCCTGAAGAACAACAAGGCTCCTGGTCCCGATGGGGTGCCCGGTGAAGTCCTCAAGAAGGTTTTGACTACCAACCCCTTGATCCTTTTGGGCATGTACAACGCCTGCCTGGTTGAAGGGGTATCCCCCTTGTGCTGGAAGACAGCTAGGCTTGTGCTTGTTGGGAAGGGCAAGGGAGACCCAGATCTGCCATCCTCTTACAGACCTCTGTGTATGTTGGATACGGCTGGCAAAGTCCTCGAGAAATTGATCCGTTCCCGGCTAAATTCAGCCGTTGTCGCTGCGGGGAACCTCTCCCCTCGTCAGTATGGATTCAGGATGGGGCGATCAACGATTGATGCGATTGAGGAGGTGAAGCAAGCCGTGATGAGAGCTGAGGATTTTACCCACTACTCTCGCAGGGTTGTGCTGCTCGTAACGCTCGATGTGCGAAATGCATTTAATTCGGCGAGGTGGTGCGATATGCTGGATGCTCTGGAGATCACCTTCCACGTGCCGGCATACCTCATGCGCATCATAGAGGATTATCTCCGGTTTCGCCTCCTAACGTATGACACTGCGGAGGGCCCGCGGACGATGAGTGTCACTTCTGGTGCTGCCCAAGGTTCCATACTCGGCCCAGACCTCTGGAACGTCGCTTATGACAGCCTTCTGAGGTCTGAAATGCCTGAGGAAACGGTTTTGGTTGGGTACGCAGACGACGTTGCAGCTTTGATAGCTGCACGTAGCGTTGAGCTGGCTCAGCTAAAGCTAAACCGAGTTATGCGTACCATAAACGCATGGATGGCAGACCACGGTCTCTCGCTTGCTCTGAGCAAAACCGAGATCGTGATTTTGACAAAAAACGGATTGACACCATCGTGCCGTTGAGGGTGGGAGCCGTCGAGGTTCAAACTGTTCGTTCTGCCAAGTATCTTGGGGTCATGGTAGACAGCAAGCTTAGCTGGCGGGATCAGATCTTCCGTACAGCGGACAAGGCCGCTAGGGTGGTTTCTTCTCTTAGCCGGTTGATGGCCAATGTCGGAGGGCCTCGGTCCAGTCGTAGAAGGCTGTTAATGTCTTCGGTCCAGTCCGTACTCTTGTACGGTGCTGAGGTGTGGGCAGACGCACTAAATAAGGAGGCATACAGGATGCGGCTCGCCCGAGTGCAGCGTCAGGCAGCACTGAGGGTAGCATCTGCCTACCGAACAGTGTCCGAGCCCGCCGTCCTGGTGATTGCTGGAGTCATCCCCGTCAAACTTTTGGCGGCGGAGAGAAAGGCAATTTACCGGCGCCGTGGGGAGGACGAGGCACGAACAGAGGAACGCACCCGCACCTATCAGCTGTGGCAGGAGGGCTGGGAACAGGAGACACGGGGACTCTGGACCAGGCGACTGATACAGCAAGTCCAACCTTGGGTTGATCGGCGGTACGGAGAGGTGGACTTCTACCTCACCCAATTTCTGACGGGACACGGCTTTTTCTGGTCGTACCTGTTCAGGATGGGCAAAGCCGTGTCACCCGACTGCATATACTGCCCAGGCATTCTCGATGACGTGGAACATACATTTTTCCACTGCCAGCGCTGGGAAAGGCCCCGCCTGGAGGCTCAACAATTAATAGGACTGCTGTCGGTGGACACGGTCATACCGATTATGACGGAGGGTGAGGACAATTGGACCTGTGTGTCACATTATATCCAGGGTATTCTCCGCGCCAAGAAGATCGACCTTGACCGGGATGCGGTGTAGGTCATTAAGAATCTAAATGCCAGAAACGGTGCGAGCCCTGAGGGCTTAGGTCACATGTTGGCCAGACTTGAAGTAATGTGACAAACAATTCCAGGTCTGTGTCCAACAGAGTAGAGGGGGTTTTTTAGTGAGTAGTCTGATAATTTTCAGGAGTCTCACACTACAGGCTGGCTACCTGTGTGCGTAAAAGCATTTTCCCTCCTCTCCCTAAAAAAAAAAAGTTGGTTTAATTGATCTTAAATAGAAAGACTCCAAATTTATTTTATGTATTTTTTTTTCAAGCAATAATTTTATTGGACAACAACATTTATTTGGGGAGAGTTTTTAAAAAGATTTGGTCACTAAAAATGACTCCTTGCCTTTTACACAGAAATATATTCTGGCCAGTATATACCTTCCACCAAGATAAAGCAGTGACGGTTGGGTTGTTCTCCGTAGACGATCCACTTTATGTTACTGTCCTTAATTAACTATAGAGCAGCCATTACAATAAACTCAGCAATCCATGGGAACATTGACTTGTCAATTCAATATGATTATAGATTGCTTAATGTAAAGTAAAATAACTAATTAATGTGAAATGGAGAAAATTTTATACCTTAATCATATACAAGACTTTTTTTTTAAATCTAATGACCGGAAAAATTTAACCTTAGTAAACTACCCAGTTTTTTAAAATGCCACTCTTTTTAAACAAACTTAACTAAATGATTTGTTGTAACAAAAGCTGTAAAAGGATTTGAGTAAATTGAAAAACAAACTCATCGTTGTTAGACAGATGAACAAGATAAGCCATTGAGAACTAAT